AGAGAGATAGATAGAGAGAGAGATAGGTAGATGGATGGATGGATATAGATAGATTAGATAGATAGATAGATAGATAGATAGATAGATAGATAGATAGATAGATAGATAGATAGATAGATAGCATGTATAAATGGATGAATGGATGAGAGATGATGGATGATAGAGGAATGATAGAGATAGACTGACATGGAGGGATGGATGGAGAGAAATAGGATGGATGGATGGAAATTGAATGGATGGATAGCTAGATATGGTAGGAAAGGAAGGAAGGAAAATCATACAGTGATAGATGATAGAGATGATAATAATAATAATAATAATAAATAATAATAATAATAATAATAATAATAATAATAATAATAATAATAATAATAATAATAATAATAATAATAATAATAATAATAATAATAATAATAAAGTTGGAAGGGACCTTGGAGGTCATCTAGTCCAACCCCCTGCTCAGGCAGAAAACCTTATACCATTTCAGACAGGTGGCTGTCCAGTCTCTTCTTAAAAACTTCCAGTGTTGGAGCATTCACAGCTTCTAGATAGATGGATGTATACATGGATGGATGAGAGATATGGTGGATGAATGAGAGAGAGAGAGAGAGAGAGAGAGAGAGAGAGAGAGAGAGAGAGAGAGAGAAACAGATAGATGATGAATGGGTGGATGGATGAGATGAGATGAGATGATGGAAGATGATAGGTAGATAGATAGATAGATAGATGATAGATAGATAGATAGATAGATAGATAGATAGATAGATAGATAGATAGATAGATAGATAGATAGATAGATAGATAGATAGAAGGATGGATGTATAAATAGATGGATGAGAGATATGGTGGATGAAAAAGGAAAGAAAGAAAAGAGGGAGGAAGGAAGGGAGAAAAAGGGAAGGAAAGGAAAAAATAAGGGAGGGAGAAAAAGTGAAGGAAGGAAGGAAAGAAAGAGAAAGAAAGATGTTTCTCTTTTATTCAGAGGAGAGCGATGTGTGCCAGGAGAATGAAATTAGACACTTTCTGAATTTTTGACATGGCCAGCCCTCCAAAATTTGCCATCACTGATCTAATACCTTGACTGCAAAGTTAGAAGAAGAGGCAATTTTGTCAGAAATAAATATAATATATTACAACGAAACATTGAATATGTTTATAAGGAAACCGAGAGACTGGAGTTTTGGCAAAACCAAGCGACACAGAGGGCAAGTTTAAATTTGGAAGTAAGCGATCCCTGTGGATCCATGGCTGAAGAGAAGTCCTTCCTTTCTGCACGCCGATGTGTTATTTTATGTCTGGTAGCAGCCCTTACCTTCTCGGCGGAGGGAATAACAGGAGCCAACTACGAGAAGGAGAGCGGATATCTAATATGACACGTATTAACAGCAGCAAGAATTGTATTTGCCCAATATTGGGAAAAATGAAAACTTACCAACTGAAGAAGTACTAATTAAAAACAATTCTAGAGTGCGCAGAAATGGATAGATTGACTTTAGAGATTAAAGAGAAACAAAATTCGGTGTACTTTAGAACCTGGGATAATTTTTTATCAATGGCTAGAAAAAACGATTCAGAGAGATAGGAATGTGATGTGTAATTTTGAGTACATACCAGCAAGAAGGACGACATGGAGTGATTAACTAATATTGCCTAAGGCAGGGGTAGGCAACCTTGGCTCTTTTATGACTTGTGGACTTCAACTCCCAGAATTCCTCAGCCAGCATGGGGGAACTATGGCTCCCTTCATGACTTGTGGACTTCAACTCCCAGAATTCCTGAGCCAGCATGGGGGAACTATGGCCCCTTCATGACTGGTGGACTTCAACTCCCAGAATTCCTGAGCCAGCATGGGGGAACTTGGAAACCTCTCCCTTTTCCCTCAGCATGGCTGGCTCAGGAATTCTGGGAGTTGAAGTCCACGAGTCATCAAGGGAGCCATAGTTCCCCCATGCTGGCTCAGGAATTCTGGGAGTTGAAGTCCACCAGTCATAAAAGAGCCACGGGTACCTACCCCTGGCCTAAGATAATTAACCATATTTCGGTTAGATCACCTTACACTCCCTTTTAAGTTTTACTGCCCTCTTAGGAAGCTTCTTCTCTTCCACAGAAATGGCAGGATATCGTGAAGGAAGTTAAGTTCCTCCAGCGGATTAAGCATCCGAACAGCATAGAGTACAAAGGCTGCTACCTGCGGGACCACACAGCATGGGTAAGCCGACGTTGGTTTTATTCATTTCGTTTTGCCAGTATCCCACCTTTATTATTTTTATAAACAAGGCCGCGAACCTATCTAAGGCTCCTTTCCCCTCCCCGGAACAACAGCCCTGTGAGGTGGGTTGGGCTGAAGAAAGAGGGATTGGGCTAAAGTCACGCAGCTGGCTTTCATGCGGAACTAGAACTCACCATCTCCCGGTGATTGGCCCAAAGTCACCCAGCCGGCTTTCATTCTAAGGTAGGACTAGAACTCACCGCCTCCTGGTGATTGGCCCAAAGTCACCCAGCTGGCTTTTATGCCTAAGGCAGGACTAGAACTCCCAGTCTCCTGGTGATTGGCCCATTCTAAGGCAGGACTAGAACTCACCATCTCCTGGTGAATGGCCCAAAGTCACCCAGCTGGCTTTTATGCCTAAGGCAGGACTAGAACTCCCAGTCTCCTGGTGATTGGCCCATTCTAAGGCAGGACTAGAACTCACCATCTCCTGGTGAATGGCCCAAAGTCACCCAGCTGGCTTTCGTGCCTAAGGCAGGACTAGAACTCATCGTCTCCTGGTGATTGGCCCAAAGTCACCCTGCTGGCTTTCATGCCTAAGGCAGGACTAGAACTCCCAGTCTCCTGGTGATTGGCCCATTCTAAGGCAGGACTAGAACTCACCGTCTCCTGGTGATTGGCCCAAAGTCACCCAGCTGGCTTTCATGCTTAAGGCAGGATTAGAACTCTAGGCTCCTGGTGATTGGCCCATAGTCACCCAGCCAGAGTTCTAGTCCCACGTGAGTCTTGAAAGTCAGCTCGGTGACTTTGGATCAGTCACTCTCAGCCCAACCCACCTCACAGGAGTGTTGTAGAGAAAACAGTAGGAGACGGCAATATTAGCTACGTTCACCACCTTGAGTTATTTATAAAAATAACAAAGTCGGGATATAAATAAAACTTTAAAACAAATAAAAATAAGCGCGACAATATCGGATGCAGAGAGACTGTATTTGTATGTAGAACAAAGTGGTGAAAATGAAAGACAGCTGCGGCTTTGAAAACTATTGTCACAAATCTTTCTTTCTTCACCCTCCTAACCCTTGGTTTTCCTTTCTGTCTGCTGCAGCTTGTTATGGAATATTGTTTAGGATCAGCATCAGATTTACTAGAAGGTGAGTCCATTTGTTTGTTTGTTTGTTTGTTTGATGAACCCTAATTCATTACATGAAAAAGCTAGGCTGGATAACTTATTAGAGACAGTTCCTCAGCGTTCAGTAAAAGTTAGATGTGTTTGTCTTGCTTACTTAATGGCAGCTTGTTGAATACACTGAATTTGTATATCTATAAACCATGGTCTGCAAGCCGCAGTTACTAAGAGATCACAATACACCAGGGGTAGGCAACCTTGGCTCTTTTATGACTCGTGGGCACTATCTAACAAAATGAAATTCAGTGGTGAAAAAGGTAAGGTTCTACATTTAGGCAAGAAAAACCAAATGCACAGGTATAGTATAGGGCAGGGGTGTCAAACTCAATTTCACTGAGGGCCGCATCAGCATTGGGGTTGCCCTTGGGGGGGGCGGGTGGGTGTGGCCAGAGTGGGTGCAGCCTACTGGGTGGGCGTGGCCAGTTCTACATCATTCGCGTCAAGGGTGCCTATGGGGGCCTGGGCAGGAGTGGGACAGATCTGAGGGTCTCTGGCAGAAGGGGGTGGGACTGGGGCAAGTGCCAAGGCATGGTCCACCGGGGCAAGTGCCAAGATGGCCACCACAAAATTGTACACTGCCTCCCGGCCGGCCAGGGCCAAGGAAGCGGGGGCCGTTTCCAGGATGGCTTCGCGGGCCACATGAAACCACTTCACGGGCCGCATCCGGCCTCCGGGCCTTGTGTTTGACATGTCTGGTATAGGGGGTACCTTGCTCAATAGTAGTAACTGTGAGAGGGATCTCGGAGTCCTAGTAGACAATCACCTAAATAGGAGCCAGCCGTGTGCTGCAGCTGCCAAAAAGGCCAACACAGTGCTGGGCTACATTAACAGAGGGAGAGAATCAAGATCACGCGAAGTATTAATACCACTTTACAAGGCCTTGGTAAGGCCACACTTGGAATACGGCATCCAGTTTTGGTCACCAGGATGTAAAAAAGATGCTGAGACTCTAGAAAGAGTGCAGAGAAGAGCAACAAAGATGATTAGGGGACTGGAGGCTAAAACATATAAGGAACGGTTGCTGGAATTGGGTATGTCTCGTTTAATGAAGAGAAGGACGAGGGGGGACAGGATAGCAGCCTTCCAGTATCTCAGGGGCTGCCCCAAAGAAGAGGGAGTCAAGCTATTCTCCAGAGCATCTAAAGGCAAGACAAGAAGCAACGGATGGAAACTAATCCAGGAGAGAAGCAACCTTAGAACTAAGGATAAATTTTATGAGTGAGAGCAATTCACCAGTGGAACTACTTGCCTCCAGAAGCAGTGAATGCTCCAACACTGGAAGTTTTTAAGAAGAGACTGGACAGCCCATTTGTCTGGAATGGTATAGGGTTTCCTGCCTGAGCAGGGGGTTGGACTAGATGACCTCCAAGGCCCCTTCCAACTCTGTTATTCTGTTATTTCACAGCCAGAATTCTGGAAGTTGAAATCACCCCTCTTAAAACATGCTGGCTGGGAAATGCTGGGAGTTGAAGTCCACCCCTCTGAAAGTTGCCAATGTTGGACACCCCTGGTTTAATGCCATCACTGCCCTGCTAACGATACCTCTCTTTCCTTCAGTTCATAAAAAGCCGCTGCAAGAAGTGGAAATTGCTGCAATCACCCACGGTGCCCTCCAAGGATTGGCCTATTTGCATTCCCACAACCTGATCCACCGGTGAGTACTTTGCTGTGTATCTCTCCTTGCATTGGTTCTTGCTCTAAGTAGCAAAATGAAATTCAACATAGAGAAAATTAAAGTTATACGCTTAGATAAGAAAATGTATTTGTCTGAAATGGTCTAGGGTTTCCTGCCTGAGCAGGGGGTTGGACTAGATGACCTCCAAGGTCCCGTCCAACTTTATTATTATTATTATTATTATTATTGTTGTTGTTGTTGCTGTTGTTAAAAACCAACTGTATAGATGTAGAATGAAACCTGGCCCAATGCCAGTAACTGCAAGAGGGACCTCGGAGTCCTAGTGGACAATCCCTTAAATATGAGCCAGCCGTGTGCTGCAGCTGCCAAAAAAGCCAACACAGTGCTGGGCTGCATTAACAGAGGGAGAGAATCAAGATCACGTGAAGTGTTAATACCACTTTACAAGGCCTTGGTAAGGCCACACTTGGAATCCTGCATCCAGTTTTGGTCACCACGATGTAAAAAAGATGCTGAGACTCTAGAAAGAGTGCAGAGAAGAGCAACAAAGATGATTAGGAGACTGGAGGCTGAAACATATAAAATGAACGGTTGCTGGAATTGGGTCTGTCTAGTTTAACGAAGAGAAGGACGAGGGGGGACAGGATAGCAGCCTTCCAGTATCTCAGGGGTTGCCCCAAAGAAGAGGGAGTCAAGCTCTTCTCCAAAGCGCCTGAAGGCAGGACAAGAAGCAACGGATGGAAACTGATCAAGGAGAGAAGCAACCTGGAACTAAGGAGAAACTTCCTGAAAGTTAGAACAATTAATCAGTGGAACGGAAGTTTCCTTCAAAAGTTGTGGGTTCTCCATCACTGGAGGATTTTCAAGAAGAGGCTGGACAATCATTTATCCAGGATAACATAGGATCTCTTGTCTGAGTAGGAGGTTGGACTAGAGGACCTCCAAGGTCCCTTCCAGCCCTGTTATTCTGTGTTCTGCTTGTGGACCTTCTGATTGTCTGTTTTCTGCTTCTCCCTCCTGAGTTTTTTAGGCTTCCAAGAACAAATCTTGTAGTGCTGAAGTGGCCTGGCAGGGCCCGCAGAGATTGAAAGGGGCCTAAAGAGAGGCACACACCCAGATACAAATAAATTCCATTTTGCAGAGCCAGAGCGAAGCGTCAGCCCCGTTTATTGGCATATTTTAAAAAAGGGTGTCTTTTTTTTTTTAGAAATAACTTGTGAAACAAAAATTTAGCTTTTAGAAAATCACCCACCCGGGTGCAAGTTAAAGACAAGTAGGGCTCAACATACGACCACAATTTCTGTCGCTAAGCAAGGCAGTTGTTGAGTTGAGCTTTGCCCTATTTTACGATGTTTCTTCCCACATCCTACAGTTGTTCAATTAGTCACACCGTTGTTAAGTGAATTCGGTTTCCCCATTGACTTTGCTGGTCAAAAGATCACAAAGGAAGGGGATCACGTGACCCTGGGACGTTGCAAGTGTCATAAATACGAGTCAATGGCCAAACATCCGAATTTCGATCACGTGACCAGGGGGATGTGTCAACGGTCGTGTGAAAAACGGTCATAAGTGCCGTTGTAACGTTCAGTGGTCACTAAATGAATGGTTGTAAGCTAAGGACTGCCTGTACTGTCTTTTTTTCCCCATTCCGTGGATAAACCTGTGGCTTGCCTTCCTTTCGTTCCCAGGGATATCAAGGCGGGGAACATTCTACTGACGGAACCAGGCCAGGTGAAGCTTGCTGATTTTGGATCGGCTTCCATCGCGTCCCCTGCCAATTCGTTTGTGGGGACTCCCTACTGGTAAGCAAGGGGTTCCCCCTGGAGTTAGAGCGCCATGATTGGCAGGAGGGAAGAGAGAATGGGATGGGATGGGATGGAATGGAATGGAATAGAATAGAATAGAATAGAATAGAATAGAATAGAATAGAATAGAATAGAATAGAATAGAATTATGGACTAGACTAGACTAGACTAGACTAGCCTATAGAATAGAATAGAATAGAATAGAATAGAATAGAATAGAATAGAATAGAATAGAATAAGAGAATAGAGAATAGAGAATAGAGAATAGAATAGAATAGAATAAGAGAATAAAGTAAGAGAATAGAGAATAGAATAGAATAAGAGAATATAATAGAATAGAATTATAGACTAGACTAGACTAGACTAGACTAGAGAATAGAATAAGAGAAGAGAATAGAGAATAGAATAGAATAGAATAGAATAGAATAGAATAGAATAGAATAGAATAGAATTATGGAGTAGACCAGTGGTGGCGAACCTATGGCACGCGTGCCAGAGGCGGCATTCAGAGCCCTGGCACCCTCCTGGCACCTGGCGATAAATAAGTGGGTTTTGGGTTGCAGTTTGGGCACTCGGTCTCTAAAAGGTTCGCCATCACTGGACTAGACTAGGGAATAGAATAGAATAGGAATAGAATAGAAATAGAAATAGAATAGGAATAGAATAGAATAGAATAGAATAGAATAGAATAGAATAGAATAGAATAGAATAGAATAAAGACAGGTGTGTCAAAGTCAATTTCGTTGAGGGCCGCATCAGCATTGCGGTTGCCCTGGGGGGGACAGGATGGGTGTGGCCTACTGGGTGGGCGTGGCCAGCTCTACATTGTTCGCGTCAAGGATGCCTGTGGGGGTCTGGGCAGGAGTGGAGCAGATCTGAGGGTCTCTGGCAGAAGGGGGTGGGACCGGGGCAAGCGCCAAGGCATGGTCCATTTCCTCATTCCTCACAAAGGGTGACACCTGCCCAGCATGCACCCAGGGGAGTGGGGCCTACACGGCAGGGGCCGGTTCCTCGCTGTTTCCGGACGGCCTTGTAGAGCTAAGACTGAATGCGTTTCGGCATAGATGGCCACCACAAAATTGTACATTGGCTCCCGGCCGGCCTGGGCCAAGGCCAAGGCAGCGGGGGCCGTTCCCTCACTGTTTCCAGGACGGCTTCGCAGGCCACGTGAAACCACTTCGCGGGCCGCATCCGGCCCCCGGGCCTTGTGTTTGACATGTCTGGAAGAATAGAATAAGAGTAGAGTAGAGTAGAGTAGAATAGAATAGAATAGAATAGAATAGAATAGAATAGAATAGAATAGAATAGAATAGAATAATAATAGAATAATAATAGAATAATAATAGAATAGAATAATAATAGAATAGAATAGAATAGAACAGAACAGAACAGAACAGAACAGAACAGAATAGAATAGTCTGGTCCCCCTTGAATGCTGTTGAACTTCACCAAGTATTAAACCTGCCCCAATCTGATCCCTTAGGAAATAAAAGCCTTTGATTCAATTTGGTTAAAGCACAGGGTTCTTTTACTAAGAATGTTGGTTGCAGTAAAGTCAAGCCAGCTCTGAAATCTCCCACGCTCACTAGATATCAAAATACAGTGTAGGTTTGCCCACAGCCCATCCCTCTCCCCCCATCCTGTGACCCGTCCATTTCCAGCCAACCGGAGCTCGCCAAAGTGTTTTGAGAATTCCGAGATGTTTGGGGGTAATCCGCGCATTTCTCGGGGCGCCCGGCCATGGGGTGCGGGTGCAAACAGGATCCGGCCGCTCTGGTTCTTAACCATCTGTCATTCCCCTCCCTCCCAGTTTCCTATCACGAAAACACAAAGCTTTGTTCCCCTTTCATCTTTCCCTCTTCCTTCCCGCTTTCATTCTTCCTCCCCTTCTCCCCCCTTTCAGCTTTTGATGCCAGGGTGCCTGTGAGGCGCCAAGCCGAACCAGGCAGAGCCGACACCAAGTCTCCTCCGGGTGCAAACTGCCAATCTGGGAGGATTCCTGTGTAAAAGGCAGGAACAGTAAAATAGCTAATGGAACTCTTTGCTTGTGGATCTGGTTGTTTGCAACTCTTCAAAGAACTTTGAGACATCGTTTACCCTAAAGAATCTTTTATTCGAGTAGCATAATATCGGCACTAGATAATCGAAGCCAAAAACTAAATTCCCCTCCCCTGAGCACACAGTATCAAAGCACAATTCCCTCCTCCAATTCACAGCCATAAATCACATTCCCCAATTAGTTTGAAATGCAGGCTTCCCCTCCAGTTCTCCAGCCCGCCATTCCTTATCATCTCTTATTTCAAAAGCCCTGAATTCATACACTATCACAGTGGTCGCAAACCTATGGCACGCGTGCCAGAGGCGGCACTCAGAGCCCTCTCTGTGGGCACGCACACCATGCCCTGGAGATGGCAACCATCCCTCTTCAACCAGCTGCTCGCTAACTTGCCGAGGTCCCACATGGCCGGATGTATCCCACACCCATGCGCTCACTGGCCGCTGTGTGCGGGGCCGATGGTTTCAGGCAGCAGCCACCCCGGCCCCTGCTTCACCTTGCCCTGTGACAATGGCACCCCCGCCCTGCCTCGCCTTGCCTCACCCCGCAGGACGAGCCTCCTGCCCACCGCCCCACCTGCCAGAGACCCCCTGGATTTCCCCCAACCCTGCCCGGTCCCCACAGGCGTCCCTCCCCAGGAGCAACATCAAGGTGATCAGGCCCACCTTGGCCACACCCACCCAGTCTGCCATGACCACCACAGCCACGCCCACCCAGTGGGCCACGCCCACCCCGCACCCGGCGATAAATAAGTGGGTTTTGGGTTGCAGTTTGGGCACTCGGTCTCTAAAAGGTTCACCATCACTGCACTATTACAATATTGTTATGTCTAACTATAATAATAATAATGATGATGATAAAGTTGGAAGGGACCTTGGAGGTCATCTAGTCCAACTCCCTGCTCAGGCAGGAAACCCTATACCATTTTGGACAAATGGCTGTCCAGTCTCTTCTTAAAAACTTCCAGTGTTGGAGCATTCACCGCTTCTGGAGGCAGGTTGTTCCACTGGTTAATTGTCCTCACTGTCAGGAAGTTTCTCCTAGGTTGCTTCTCTCCTTGGTTAGTTTCCATCCGTTGCTTCTTGTCCTGCCTTCAGGGGCTTTGGAGAATAGCTTGACTCCCTCTTCTTTGGGGTAGTCCCTGAGATACTGGAAGACTGCTATCCTGTCCCCCCTCGTCCTTCTCTTCGTTGAACTAGACATACCCAATTCCAGCAACCGTTCCTTATATGTTTTAGCCTCCAGTCCCCTAATCCTTTGTTGCTCTTCTCTGCACTCTTTCCAGAGTCTCAACATCTTTTTTGCATCGTGATGACTAACTCCCATCACATTCCTCCTCCTCCCCCCCCAGCATCCTCTAATTCTAAGAGTAAAGCATTAGAAAGAACAAGGCTGCATCTCCATCTGTTGTCAAAGCAAGAATGTCCTGATGTGAGCAGCGTTGACCCTAACGTTGTGCGTTTCTTCGTTTGCTTTTCAGGATGGCCCCCGAAGTGATCCTGGCCATGGACGAAGGGCAGTACGACGGTAAAGTTGACGTGTGGTCCCTTGGGATCACCTGCATCGAATTAGGTGAGCCCTGCGGGTCTCCTTGGGTCCCCCAGCTGAGGCTTTGTTTCTTCCCGCTCCTTTACAAATCAGCCATCGACAGGCACACAGAGATAAACGACGTCTGCATGCCGCTTAAAAGAGAAAAGCCAAAAAGGGAACAAAATGACCCAAATGCCTCCTCACCAGCACCCAACACCCCGATTGGCAGAGAATAACACCAAGATTAACACTCGACTAAGAATCAAGGAGTAAACAACACCCCACTCAAGGAGCCACCAATAGCACTTAGACTTATATACCGCTTCACGGCGCTTTTACAGCCCTCTCTAAGCAGTTTTACAGAGTCAGTCTATTTGCCCCCAACAATCTGGGTCCTCGTTTTACCGACCTCGGAAGGATGGAAGGCTGAGTCAACCTGGAGCCGGTCAGGATCGAACTTCCTGGGTGTGGTCAGAGTCAGCCTGCAATGCTGCATTCTAACCACTGCACCACCACGGTAGGAAAGAAAGATAGAGAGGAAAGGAGAGAGAGAGGGAGGAAAGAAAGAAAGAAAGAAAGAAAGAAAGAAAGAAAGAAAGAAAGAAAGAAAAGAGAAAGAAGAGAAGGAAGAAAAGGGAGGAAGAGAAGAGGGAAGGAAGGAAAAGGGAGGGAAGGAAGGAGAAAAATGGAAGGGAGGAAGGAAGGAAGAAGGGAAAAGGGAAGGAGAGAAAAAAGGAAGGAAGGAAGAATAGCAATACCACTTAGACTTATATACCGCTACACAGTGCTTTACAGACTTCTCTGAGCGGTTTAGAGAGTCAGTGTATTGCCCCCCAACAATCTGGGTCCTCATTTTACCGATCTCATAAGGATGGAAGGCTGAGTCAACCTGGAGCTGGTCAGGATCGAACTTCCTGGCTGTGGGCAGAGTCAGCCTGCAATGCTGTATTCTAACCACTGCGACATCAGGATTTCCTTCCTTCTCCTTTCCTCGCTCCCTCCTTCCCTCCAATAGCATTTAGACTTATATGCCGCTTCTGAGTCCTTTACAACAGGGGTCCCCAACCCCAGGGCCATGGGCTAGTACCGGGCCCCAGCATGCCAGCAACCAGTCTGCACAAACGACCAAAGCCCCATCTGCAGGATGCAGGCAGCACACAAAACCACACACCGTCCGGTCCGCGGAAAAACCTCTCTCCATGGAACCAGTGGTCCCTGGTGCCCAAAAGATTGAGGACCTCTGCTTTACAGCCCTCTCTGAGCTGTTTACAGAGTCAGCCTATTTTCCCCCAACAATCTGGGTCCTCATTTTACCGACTTCGGAAGGACGGAAGGCTGAGTCAACCTGGAGCCGGTTAGGATCGAACTTCCTGGCTGTGGGCAGAGTCAGCCTGCAAAGCTTCATTCTAACCACTGCACCACCAACTTAGACAAACAATCAAATGGTAAACAGAAACGAACTACCCCCCGAGAACGAACTACCCCCCGAGATCCGGACGATTCCGGATCTCCTAACCTTCCGCCGCGCCCTCAAGACATGGCTTTTTCAACAAGCGGGACTGACCTAAGGTGAATTTTAAATAGGGATAATTTTTAATGATTTTAAATAGTCACAGCCACTAATATTTGGGTTTTAATTGGTTTTTAGAAGGGGTAATTCTGTATATTGTTTTAACATGCTGTGAGCCGCCCTGAGTCCCATGGGGAGAAGGGCGGCATATAAATTTTGTAAAAAAAAAAAAAAAAAAAATAGGGAACCTCCAAGAACTCTTTCATTGACACTGATTGACCAAGCCACTGGTCCAGAGGTCCCCAACCTTTGGGGCACCAGGGACCACCGGTTCCGTGGAGAGAGGTTTTTCCATGGACCGGAGGGTGTGTGGTTTTGTGTGCTGCCTGCATCCCGCAGATGGGGCTTTGCTTGTTTGTGCGGCCCGGTTGCTGGCATGCCGCAGCCCGGTACCGGTCCACAGACCTGGGGTTGGGGACCCATGTACCAATATATGAAATGATAGCAAACCCCACTCCCTATTAGCATTGATGCTGTTACCTAGTTGGGTAATGAAATGTCCACGAGAAAGCACGTAAGATCAGCAAGACTAGAGGACCCACAGTCGTCCTCCTCTTCTTCCTCCTCCTCCTTCCCTCCCTCCCTCTTTTTTTTTGGGTTTTATTTGTTAAATTGCTCTGCCGTCCATCTCTCCACCAAACGAATGTTCAGCTTGGAACACCATAAATAACAGAATAAAACAGGTGTCTTCCAACTTGTCCCTTTGATGACTTGTGGACTTCAACTCCCAGAATTGTGCCTGGCTGAGGAATTCTGGGAGTTGAAGTCCACAAGTCATGAAAGGGCCAAGTTGGAAGACCCCTGCTTGTGGACTTTGACTCCCAGAATTCCTCAGCCAGCGTTCCTGACTGAGGAATTCTGGGAGTTGAAGTCCACAAGTCATCAAAGGGGCCAAGTTGGAAGACCCCTGACTTAAAGCATCCTGGCTGAGGAATTCTGGGAGTTGAAGTCCACAAGTCATGAAAGGGCCAAGTTGGAAGACCCCTACTTGTGGACTTCAACTCCCAGAATTCCTCAGCCAGCGTGCCTGGCTGAGGAATTCTGGGAGTTGAAGTCCACAAGTCATGAAAGGGCCACGTTTGAAGGCCCCTGGAATAAAACAATGATACGATTAAAACATCAGACATTAAAAAGCCAGAGCCCTAAAATTAATACTAAAAAGGATAAGATCTGACCTTCGTTCTCTAAATTGGAGCCTCAACCCCCAGGATGTGGACCGGTACCGATCAATGGCAGGTTGTAAACTGGGCTACGCGAGCGACGGGCGAGGGCGCGAAGCTTCAGTTCCACCCACGCAGGATTCGGTCACACCCACGCAAAACCATCCTCCTCGCCCCCACCGCTACCAGTCCGTGGAACCCCAAAGGTTGGGGACCACTACTCTAAATCACCACGGCCCACCGAGCTGTTTAGCACAACAACCTGTTTTAAGAGGGGGCAGTTTCCTGGCTGGGGTCAAAGGTCAAAGTGGGAGATGCTTGTGTTTGTGGCTCTTTCTCATTCCCCCCTCCCCCCCTAGGGTCTCGGGGACAGGAGGGGGGGCAATGGGGGCGAGAGAGGAGGCGTCCGCAGCAGCAGGGTCTAAAGCCCCCCCCTTTTCTCTTTCGCACAGCGGAACGGAAGCCTCCGTTGTTTAACATGAACGCCATGAGTGCCTTATATCACATAGCGCAGAATGAATCCCCCCTCCTCCAGTCCAGCGAGTGGTGAGTCGGGAGAGGGTCTCGCCGGGGCGGGGAGGGGGAGTGGAAGAGGTTGGGGATTGAGCTCTGGGCACATTGTGGGAGCAGCCCCCTCAGATTGGCTGGCTTATCTGTCTATCATCTTCCTACCTACCTACCTACCTACCTACCTATTCTCTCTGTCTCTCTCTCTGTCTCTCTCTCTCACACACACA